GCATGAGCCACAGCCCAGCCCTTTAAAAGACTAGTTTTCAAATGTTCAGCAGAGCTCTGTGGGGCTGCAGGGTTAAACCTGGAGCGTAAATAGGCCTCAGTGAGTACCAGGACTCAGTTTTAATTTTTTTGTTCTGATCATGTGGTCACACTTTTTTTTTAAAGAGTCCATATCTTTTAGAGATAAATATGAAAATGCATATAAATAAAATGGGAAGATGTCTGAGTTTTGCTTACTTTTGGGGGAGAATAAGATTGGCCAAGAGCTGCTGATGGGGGCTCTAGCTTGGGGATGGGCACCAGGGGTCACGGGACCATTCTCTCTACTTTTGTGAGTGCTTGAAATTTTCCAAAATTAAAATAATTCTTTCAAAAGGTTCAACTTCTTACTCTACTCCCAGGATCTAAGGAGATTACAACCACCTTCACTCCATCTGTCCTGCTCTGAAAACAGATTAAATTATCAACATTTCCCTTGCCAAAGGAGATTTGCAACTGTCGAGGTGAGACATAAACAACGGCACTAAGATTTTCACCTGCCGGGGCTTGGGGGAGGAGGAAAGACTTTGACAGCTTCCATGCAACTGGGGCATGAAGCAGGGGGTGGGTCCAGGATGGAGAAGATCCAAAGTCTAACGTTGTAAAGATGTGCTGATTTCCCAGCGCTGTCTCTGGGGAGCTCTGGCAGCACCAGAGGGCAAAGCACAGCTGAAAGCTCAGAGCTGCGGTCCCAGGCCCTGGGGTGAGTGGTCCCCCCATGGCAGGAACACAGGGGAGTGATGTTGTGTCTCCATGTGGAGTTGGGGGGTTGCTCAGGTGTACGGACCTGGTCCCACCTTAAAGCCAGGGGACCGGCCTCTTATACCCTTAGCCAGTCAGTTGTTGGCTGTAAGGTTGGGGCGGTGTAATTTAAACTCCCAGAAGAGAGCGGATGTGAGCCTTTAGCAACAAAGAATTATAGCAGCTGGAGAATGGGTGGCCCTCCCAGCAGAGTGGATCTGGGAAGTAGCGGACACCATCGGCCTCTCCCTCGGGGAGCCCCATCCTGCTGCCAGTCACTGACCGTTAGAGCTAGAGGAGCCCCAGACGCTTCTCTTGCAGTCTGGAAAGGCATACACACAGAGGGACTAGTTCAAGAAAACAGAGGCCCAGAGAGGAGAAGGGACTTATCGAGGGCCACAAGGGGCCAGGACTAGAATCCAGATTCTTGACCCCCTCCTTGGACGGAGGCCTCTGTTTCCTGCAGGTCTTCCAGCTGCTTGGGGGTGAACTCTGTGTACACCAGGCACACTGTCTGGAAGCACCAGGAGGAGGCTGGTTCAGTACAGTCATAGGTGGTTTTCTAACTGGCATTCACTGAGGAGGAGGCTGGTTCAGTACAGTCATAGGAGGTTTTCTAACTGGCATTCACTGAAACACTGATCCTCGAAGGGACCCCACTCCCCAACACCAGCCTGCCTGTCACTCAGCACCTCTCAGTTCCTGCCTTTCTGTCCTTGACATGCATGCACACACATGCACACACATGCACACACATGCACACACATGCACACACATGCACGCACACACACACGCACACACCCTGAGAAGCTCTCTCTGTCCTCTAGGGCTCCACTGCACAGTCTGCTGAGGGTCACATTATTCATGCCACGTTTCCTCTGCCTGCTCACCTCCCATGGACACATCTTACTCACTCCTGCCTCGGTCCCTGCAGCGTCCGGTGTAGAAACTCCATGAACAAATCCATGAATGACAGTGCTGGATCTCAGATCACTAGCTCAACACACTCAGCGCCTTTCTTCCCTCATGACCCCCTGCCCCCACCCCAGGGCCCCCGGGCTCTCATGGCTCTCTCCCTCTGTAAGCAGGATGGGGATGGAGGCAATAAACTCACCACCCCAGATGACAGGGACAGGGTGTCTCATGTCTTAACCGAGAAGCAGACGAGGACAAGGTGGAGGCTCGCTCGTGGGATTCTAGACACATAACAGGCCAGTGGCGACTGTGGCTGACATTGATTGCTATATGCCAGGCCCTGTCTGTTGCAAGCATTGTTTCAGCTACTCCCTACCACCTACCCCGCAGGGACAGGCAGTGGCCCTCCCCATGAGAGGGTGAGGGAAGACTCAGATGCTGAGATGTAAACAACCTGCCCACGGTCAAAGCTCCGGGGAGCAGAGCCAGGACTTTGCACAGGGCACCCATTCTGGCCGACAACGTCCAGGGCTCATGGCCGGGCCCACTCTGCTGCTCTACTGGGGACTTCTGGAGGGCCCTACCCAGCTCTGTCCCTGTCCTACCTCCCCTCCCAGAACTGAAGGAACAACGAGAATACGTACGGGACCAAGGCATCGCGTGGCCCCGTGCAGAGCGTGGTCCTGAGCTGGCTGAGGGCGCTGGCGGAGGGCAGGGCAAGGCTAAAAAAGTTCCTCCATGCCCCCAAGCAGCCTGCTGCCTGCCCCCGTCTGTCAGCACACTGTCACCTCCTAGCAGCCCTGCACAGGTCCTGGAGGTGGGCCAGGACAGCAGGGAATAAGTGTTCTAAGGAATCAGAGTTCATGCTTTGTCTTGAAAAAGCGGACAAGAGAGTCAGAACAAACTTTTCCCCATGATGACTGAGGTCTACCCTCTGCAACTCCTTCCTCTCCTGGTTGTATAAAATTCCTTGTAGCAGCTCCCTGTTCCGTGAGACAAGCACTACATTAAAGTCGGAAGGGACCCTAGAGACCATCACTCAATTTCCATTCCCACTGTGATACGCACATGAGCAAATCACAAGTGGAGAAAAGGCCAAAAACCAGAGCCCAGGACCAGAAATTCAAACCTTCAAGGCCACTTTGCCCAAAAGCAGACCCCATAGAATACCAATTGCATAGAACCACCAGACTATGAGAAAAAAGATTCTATGGCCAGCCGAGCGCAGTGGCTCACGCCTGTAATCCCAGCACTTTGGGAGGCCGAGACAGGCAGATCACCTGCAGTCGGGAGTTTGAGACCAGCCTGACCAACGTGGAGAAACTCCGTCTCTGTTAAAAATACAAAATTAGCTGGATGTGGTGGCACACGCCTGTAATCCCAGTTACTCGGGAGGCTGAGGCAGGAGAATCACTTGAACCTGGGAGGCGGAGATTGTGGTGAGCCAAGATTACACCACTGCCCTCCAGCCTGGGTGAAACTCCATCTCAAAAGTAAAAATAACAAATAATAAATAAATAAATAAAGATTCTATGACCAATTAAGTTTGGGAAATGCCCTTAATACTAAGACAGGGTGTGCCACTTGTAGAAAATCTCAGCACCTTTCATATGAGAAAAAGGGTGAAGAGGATATCCATGGTTTCCCAAACTTATTTGATCATGGAACCCTTGGACTGCAGATCCATCAGGACCAATGTTCCATGGAATATACTTTGAGGAAGGTTATTCTGGATTCTTGAATCCAACACCCTAGTGGATATTTGAACCATTCCTGCTGCCACAGCTCTCACAAGTGAATGTCTAGGTGGAGGTGCAGCTCCAGTGCCCAGGCACTCACTCTCCCCATGGACAACCAGTTCCATCTGAGGCAGCCCTATAAGAAGCCTCTCTTCTCCTGTTCTTTGCAGCGGAGTCCAGGCCTGGGTCCAGGGATTGTCCTCCCAGGTATGCAGAGTCTAGGTGAAGCCGGTGGCTAATCTGGTTCAGGCCTCTGCCACCAGATACATCCCTTAGTCCAGCCAGCGGTGTCAGAAGGACTCCTGAAGGCTGGGAGCTGAGAAAGGGACAGTTCCCAAGCATAGCTGGGCAGAGTCACAAAGACAGTCATGCGGCACTGTGTCTATGAGCTCAGCTTCTGAAGCCCAGGAAAGACGGAGACCCTCTGCCCACTCGCCCCACTAAATTAGGGGTCGCCACTGCAGGCCCATGGAGATACCGATCGGGGGCTCCCACCCAGCAGCCCAGGCCCAGAGCACTGGTGATGGAGTAAGACCACGCGTGGTTCCAATTCCAGGCACTTCCTCACTGTGTGACCATGGCCAAGGCAGGCAACCTCTCTGAACCTTGGTTTCCTCTTCTACACAGTGGTGCTGACTTCCTGAGTATTAAGGGAGGTTGCCCGGCAAAACTGCCGCCTGGCACAGCGCCCGGCATACAGTGCTCACCCAACTGTGAGGCCCCATCTGGCTCTTTGGCTCTTGGTAATGTCCCTTCCTTTCCCCTCTACCCAATCCAGGATATAGTCACCTGGGCTATTTGTCCCTCCAGACTTCCCGAGGTTCTTTCCCTGCACCCCTGTGGAAAATGTGGATACTCAACGGAACTTCCTGGATCCACAAGTCAGACTTAAAAGTGAGAGGAATGCCCCTCCCCTTTCATTCATCCAGGAGAGAGTCTGAGACCAGCCCACTCTCTCTCAAGGATTTGTTCACTAGCCCCACCCCCATGAAGAAACCATCTCTGACCTCAGTCCCCACCAGCCAGCTCCCTTTCTTCCCTGCCCAGCTCTCCACTTTCTGGGACAGAAAGGCTACACTGGATTTTCTCACCAAGTCCCCAGGCAGCCCCCAAACCCTCGTACATCCCGCGGCATCAGTATACACAATACCAGGCTCTGTCTGCAGGTCATGTGTCCAGCCCGCTTCTAAGTATTTTCCCAACTCCTTTCATGCCCATGAGAACATCCAGAACCTTCATTTTCAATTGTTGAGTCAACAGTGCATGAAGGACTTCAGCCCCGGGCTCTGGAGCCAGCCTGCCATGCTTCAAGTCCAAGTCACTTATTGGCTGTGTGACCATGGGCAAGTGGCTTAACCTTTCTGAGCCTCATCTGCAAAATGAGAGTGAGGACAGTATTTACCTCATAGGGTTGAAATGAGGACAAAATCAGGTAATGCATGTAGAAGGTTTATCTCAGTCCCTGGAGCAGGGAAAGTATTTGTAAATGCCAGCTTCGCTAAATATGGACTTCCTGACTCAGTGTTGGCTCATAAAAAGTCCTCGGTGGAAGACATTTTCTTCCCTTCTCCCCAGAAGGTATGGGTACTACCACAGGAGGTAGGACAATTATTTCCCACCTGCCTTCAGTCACTCATCTTGGACCAGTGGATGGAGACTGTTTACAAAGCCCCTCCATCGACCCGCACCTCCCGCACCTCCCAACTCTTCCAAACTGCAGTCTGGCCACTTTTGGGTGAGCTGTGTCTTCCACTGGTTGTGAAGTTTGCCTGGTCCTTGTTTTTCTGCCCCAAAAGGAACTGTGTCTCTGGAACCCCAGAAAGGCTATGAGCAGCAATTACTCCCATCCTCAGGGGCCAGATTATTCCAGGTCAAATCAAGACCAGGGATTGCTGGACAGGGCAACCACGGTTCTGGAAAGATCCAATCCTGTAAACAGAGGTGATTGGCAGAGGCTTTCCCAGCCACAAGCCTCAGAAATGAGACGGGTTCTGATGGCCTTTCTCCCTGTGCTGCAGCCAGGACCCCCAACCAGCGTCAATGAAAGCAGACGCCACAGTTATTCCCAGCGGTTGTGCTAGGGGGCTCCCGTCATGGCAAGTCCTCAGCCCAGTCCAGCCCTGGCAGACAAGTCTACCCCAGAGCACGACCCAGTCCAAGCTCCCGCCTCCATGCCGGCACGAGAAGTCCCAGAAGAGGAGCAGCCTTCTCAAGGAGCTGGGGGTGAGCATCCACTTCCCAGGGTCCCAGCAGTGGGAGGAAGAGGAGAGGGGGATATGAGGAGGATGCTGGGGGACCCCAAGAGGAGAAATGGAAGAGAGAAAGGCTCCAGCTTTCCTGCTGAACATTCATCTGAGCTGGAAAAGGCCTTGAGGATCGGAGAGAATCTGCCCACACCTATACTGCCTTGTGAGGTTCGGACAGGGCCCCCGTCCTGGGGAGAATGGTAGGAGAAGGCTGCCAGCTCCAGGATACACAGCTCCCACCCATGGGGCCCTTGGCAGCTTCAGCTCTTTCTGCAGGAAATCCTGGCGAGTGGTCCTTCTTAGACAGCCTGGTCTCTGGGATCCCTAAGAGGATGGAAGGGACTCAGCACAGCCAGTAGGTCCAGGGCACCAGTGGCCTCAATTAGAGCCAGCCACCGATGCCCTCACCCCAGCCATTCTTTCTTCCCTACCCAGGCCTTCCACATCACCATCGCTCTGCTGCACCTGGTCTTTGGGGGCTACCTGGCCTCTACAGTCAAGAGCCTTCACCTGGTGGTGCTGAAGTCTTGGTATCCATTCTGGGGGGCTGCCTCTGTGAGTAGAAGGCAAAACACAGACCGGGTATGGGAGTCTGCAAGGCAGGCCTGCAGGAGGCCCTGGCGTTGGGGACAGGATGCAAGATGGGACAGAGACAGCTAATAGGAGTGCGGCAGAAGCCAGGCCCTTTCTCCAGTGCTCCTATCTCTGCTTCTTTTATCTCGGTCACCATGGAAATAGTTCCTTCCAGGAAGCCCCTGTCAATTCTGAGTCCCAAGAGAGCATTCGGAGGCTATCCACTCTCCCATAATTGAATATATGCATTTGGCAAAGAGGAGGGTGAGCAGGACCCAGGGACAGCTTCATTCTTCCCCGGCCTTCTGAGTAGCCAGGCTGCCTCTGGATCCAGCGACAGGTGCCCTGTTGGGGTTGGGCTACAAAAACACACAGGGTGTAAGGTGTGGCTCCCGTCCTCCCAAGGCCATCAGCCAGAATGGGAGATGACACTGGACCAGTGCATGTACCATTTCCTGGAAGCTCTACATTCCTTCAGGTCTCCAGAGAGCCCACCCCATTCCTGACTCCCAGGTGGAGTCCTGCCTATGCACTAAGTCCAAGCTCCACGGCACTGTCTTGGGCAAGTATCCCAATCCACCTTTCACATCAGTCCTCTGTGCCCACTGCCCACAGGATAGGGCTTTCACTGCACAGTGATAGAACTTTCTACACATGCAGTGTCTATTCACCCTGTGCTCCCAGGGACTAGCCCATAGTAGGTGCTCAGTGAACATTGGAAAGAAAGATTGCAGAGGTGCTCCCAGAGACCTTGGAATCAATAATTCATATCCTCCAAACTGCAAGATTCAGGAAAAGAGAAAGGGTCGGGGTAGAGGGGATAGTGCCACTGATCCCAGAGAGATGGTTTGGGTTTGTAAAATGAGGGAAGTAGGAGGGGCTAAGAGGGAGTTCTAAGTACAGGGCACAGCTTTGTCCAAGGTGTAGAGACAGGAGCAGGTATGGAGGTTTGTGCACATGGGAAGACGTGAGGTGGAGCAGCGCCTGGGATGGGTCACGTGGCAGGCAAGAGGAGCTCACTTTGCGGGAAGAATAGTATTCTCCACCCCACTGGCTGCCAAGGTTGATTTTCTTGGAGAATAGGGGTAGGGTGGGAATTCGTGGGTTTTGAGAAACCCCAGCTTCTCTCCTTTGACTTTCAAATCTGTCCTGCAGTTTCTCATTTCAGGGATCTTGGCGATAACAATGAAGAACTTTTCTAAAACTTACCTGGTGAGTGGGTGCACTGAAATCATTCTCTTCCATCCGAGCATGGGGGAACTTTGTTAAGGGCATCTGTGCGTAGGGGTGATTGTGAGGGTACTTCTCCAGGACTTGCTAAGAGCAGGCTCTTGCCTTCAGGACAACAGAGGATGTCCAAGCAGAAGGGTCCAGATGCAGACAGGCTGACGGATTTGGCTGTGGGAGGAAAGGAAGAATGATCTGAAGCTTCTCTCTTTCCAGTGCAGTCAGGCAGAGAAGGAAATGGCTCCCAGGCACCCTGACCCGTCCGTCTAGGACATAACTTTGCTTCCTCTCAAACCTCCAGAGTTTTAACATTAATCACCACATAGCCTGCAAGCCCTAGCCTTCAGCTGGATTTGCATCTACTTCTCCTCTCTAAGAGCCAGGCAGGTGGAACTGTGGTCCTCCCTGTTCTGCCTGTGCTGGCCACTGCCCAAACACCTTGCCCTCTCCCCTGCACACATGGCTCCCATGTTTGACCTACTCCGGACCACTCAAGACAACCTGTATGTCTTGTCCTGCCGGAGGTCTTCTCTGACCTCCATGGCTGCCTTCCGTGCTCCCACACTCTGTGGACTTACCTGTCTCTGCCATATACTAAGTTCTGTGTGGGCAGAATATGTCTGAGCATCTTGGTAGCCCAAGGTGGCCCAAGTAGGCACAGAGTAGACACGTAGCACAAGACTGGATGGGTGGAGGTGGATGGATGATGGAAGGAACATCCCTGCAAATCACATCCCACACCCAGATCTTCCCACCGCCCCTCCTTCTGCCCCCGAATCCCGAGCCAGTTCTTTCCCTATTTGTGTCCCTCAGCCTGGCTAGGCTGTGGTTGCTCCCTGCTTTCTCAGAGGGCACAGAGAATAGAACGATGGTTGTTCAGTTTACCCAGCAGAGGCAGGAGATGCTTGACAAAGACGTGCCCATTCCCCAGACCTCACCCTCCTGGGCTGAGCCCCTTTTAGAACCACAGGCCTCCTGCTTTGTATACCTGAGCATAAGGACACTCCTACTGTAAAGAAACCCATTCCAGTATGAAAGGTTACAGATTCCACACGTGCATAGTCTTTCCTCACTAGGAAGGTTTGCACTTGGCAAGAGGCTCTTGGAATGATGCTTAACTGGAGAGGACAATGAATACAGGCATTTCAGGGACCATGGTGGGTGGGCAGAGAAAAGGGGCTGGCACTAGGATATGTGAGGATAGGGCACTTTCAGAGCACCTCCTGCCCTTTCTGGTGGGGAAGGGGCTGGATGAGGGGTCACTTGTTTGTCGAATCCCTGACACTTGGCATAGCTGATGTAGGATGGTCGGGGCTGGCTTTGAGTGGGAGAAGGCAATGGGGCATCCTTTATTGCAAAGCTCTTGGAGCTGAAGGCAGCTCTCAGGTTCTCCCAATTTGTCCCACAGAAGGCGAGGGCCAGCTGGGCCCTCCTCAGTGGTCAGTGGCTCAGCTCCTGTGTGAGGAGCTGAGGGGCCAGTGACAGGCAGAGTCTGTCCTGAGGCTACAGAGGAAGCTACTGGCAAGCATCAGGGGAGGACCTAGCCCCAGGTCTCCACCCTTTGGACAGCTGTTACCTTTATTTTTCACCTATAGAAGATGTTGTGCCTCATGGCAAACCTCGTCAGCCTCTTTTGTGTGCTGTCTGGCCTCTTCGTCATCACCAAGGATCTCTTTCTGGAGAGCCCATTTGAGTCCCCGATCTGGAGAATGTACCCCAACTCCACGGTGAGTACCCAGGCCTAGAGCGTCCTCTGACTTCAGTGAAGGTGCTGCCTTGGGTTTGGCCAACAGGAGATTTCTAGCTCACAGAAAGCCTCTCCTGGAGCCCAGGAGCCCTTGGCCAACCCATCTCTGTCCCTCCCAAGGTGTGGTGGAAAGGGGGGTGCTGGGCTGCCCACCGATCAGCATCACTGAATCCAAGTCCACTTTTATAGATGGGGAAATGGGGCCAGAGACGGGGAGGAGCCTGCCTGAGGTCAAGCAGCAACTTGGCCGCAAATCCAGGACCACAGCCTAAAACTGCTGATTTCCCAGCCAGGGCTCTAAGCATGGTATCCCTGGTGGCCCCTGTGATCCGGGAGCCTCCCAGCAGCCTTGCAAAGCTGGCCAAGTCCACTTTGTTACCCTCAACTTCTGGGAGTGAACACTGAGGTCCAGAGAGGCTAGGTTAGTGGGTCTTGGACTCCAAGCCTGGTGCTCTTTTCACCATGCCACTGCCGCCTCTGAAGCCGAAGGCAGACCACTGGGTGCCTCTGGGTCAGGCTCCAAGAATTCTTTAATTATTTATTTATTCATTTAATTAGAGACAGAGTCTCACTGTTATCACACAGGCTGGAGAGCAGTGGTGCGATCTCGGCTCACTATAACCTCCACCTCCCAGATTCAAGCGATTCTCCTGCCTCAGCCTCCCGAGTAGCTGGGATTACAGGCGTCCACCACCACACCCAGCTAATTTTTGTATTTTTAGTAGAGGCGGGGTTTCACTATGTTGGCCAGGCTGGTGTCGAACTCCTGACTTCAAGTGATCCTCCCGCCTCAGCTTCCCAAAGTGCTGGGATTACAGGCGTGAGCCACCATCCACAAGTGTTCTGACCATAGTGGTTTGCTATTCCTTATCTGCTCCCAGCACATACACACACGTGCATACACATGCACATCACACGCAAGTGTGAGTATGCATGGACACACATGTGCGTGCACACACACACATATACATATGCTTCCCCGTCAAATGCATGTGATACTAGGAGATGTCTCTCAGCTGCACAGCTCTTCCCCTCCCCTGCTGTAAAATATGCTCCCTCACTCTGGGACTAGGTATCCCCATCTGTCAAGTAGGCTTGGATCAGACGACCCTAAGGCTACCTTCAGTCTTACCAGGGACCCATGAGATTCTCTAGCCCTCAAACATTAGGCCAATGCTCACCAAAGACCTATAAGTGCCAGGCATTGAGTGTAGGGCAGTGACCAAGACAGACCCACTCCCCATCCCACAGAGACCCACCCTGCCCTCCCCACGCACACCTGGGAGCTGAAGCCCCAACTGCCGTCTGCTGTGGATCTGACCCCTGCCTGGCTAAGCCCACGTAATGGGTGCAGACACCCAGAAAGGTCTCGCCCTGCCTTCCATCCCTCTCCCCTCTCAGGTCCACATCCAGAGGCTGGAGCTGGCCTTGCTCTGCTTCACGGTCCTGGAGCTCTTCCTGCCAGTGCCCATAGCAGTCACAGCCTGGAGAGGGGACCGTCCATCTGCAAAGGTAAGACAAGGGTTTGTCTTCCCAGGAAGACAAAAAAAAAAATGGGGGCATGAGGCAGCAGAGGGCTCAGAAAGGAAAGAAATGTGGGGGTTACAAGAGGAGCGTGTTTCATTCATTCCTCACTTTGCTGAGCATTCATTAAGCGACAGCCCACAGTCCGGTAAGGGAGCCAAGGCACGGGGGCGAGAGAGGAGGCCAATCCAAGGAGAAGAAGGTGAGGCTGCCTGAGAGGAAACGCCATGGGTGCCCAGAACAACAGGATACTGTGCTACCAGCTCTGAAGGCCCTGGGGAAATTGCATCACAGAGGCCTGTGGTGACTGGGCAGGGTTCAAACCCACAGGCATAAATGGAAAAGGGACTTTCAGCAGAGCAATGACAGCACGAGCACTGGCTTGGAGACAGGACAGGGAAGGCCTGGGGAAGCTACAGTGTGTGTGCAGTTTGGCTGTGGTGGAAACAAGTGAGAGACAGAGTCATCAAAGATTGGGCATTTAAAGAATTCCAGAGACTCTGTTAAGCACTACATTGATGGATCAATCAATGCATCCATCGATGGACAGATGGATGGATGGATGGATGGATGGATGGATGGATGATGTATGGATGGATATAGATGTGCAGATATACAGATAAATATAGCTGTATTTAACTTTATCTTCTCAACAACCCTTTTTCTTTTGAGACTGAGTCTCACTCTGTCGCCCAGACTGGAGTACAGTGGCACGATCTCAGTCCACTGTAACCTCCGCCTCCCAGGTTCAAGCAATTCTCCCACCGCAGCCTCCCAAGTAGCTGGACTACAGGCACGTGCCACCACATCTGGCTAATTTTTGTATTTTTTTTAAGTATAGATGAGGTTTTGCCATGTTGGCCAGGCTGGTCTCAAACTCCTGACCTCAAGTGATCCGCCAGCCTTGGCCTCCCAAAGTTCTGGGATTACGAGCATGAGCCATTGTGCCCAGCCCTCAACAACCCTTTGAGGTACCTAAATTCCCATACTACAGACTAGCAAGCTGAGGTTCAGAGAGGTCACATCACTTCCCAAGGCGAAGCAGCCAATCAGGAAATCCAGGACTCAGCCTGAGCTATGTCTAACCCACAGTCTCGCCCTCGTCTACCCATGGGGAAGGCAGAACGGCCGACTGGGGCTAGATATATTTTAAAATAGAAAGCAAGTCTCTCCTCACCCCAAAGATCCTCAACAGTTCAGGATAAGGATATTTTATAAAAGAAATCAATAAATAAAAAATAAAGACCCTGACCAGAAGTGATCTCCAAGGCTTATTTCTTTAAAGAAAAAAAAATCATATTACAATCTCAACTGTAGAACACTATTTTTGAAAGTGCCAAATCCCCCATAATTCTGCAAGTTTGACGCTGATTTTCGTGTTAGTGACCTCCTCACACACCGAGTGAGTGTTCACATAACGCATATATAAGTTGATGGCCTCTGAGTTTCATTCAACATCAAGCAGAGAAGTTGTCTTTGTGAATTCCTGGCTGCCTGACAAGAAGTCTTCTCATTAAGACATCAGAAAGCCAGATGGGGGCCTTGAGTCACTGAGGCCAACACCACTTTTAAGGATAGGGAAAACGGAGGCCCCACACCTAGCTGTAGCTATGAGCAGTCATTGTTCCTATTTATTGACCTTTGCTGTGTCCCAGGCACCATGCTAGTGCTGCAGGTGGCTGTATTCATTTTCTATTGATGTTGTAGTAAATTGTCACAAATTTGGTGGCTTAAAATGGCACCTATGGCCGGGCGCGGTGGCTCAAGCCTGTAATCCCAGCACTTTGGGAGGCTGAGACGGGCGGATCACAAGGTCAGGAGATTGAGACCATCCTGGCTAACATGGTGAAACCCCGTCTCTACTAAAAAATACAAAAAACTAGCCGGGCGAGGTGGTGGGCGCCAATAGTCCCAGCTACTCGGGAGGCTGAGGCAGGAGAATGGCGTGAACCCAGGAGGCGGAGCTTGCAGTGAGCTGAGATCTGGCTACTGCACTCCAGCCTGGGCGACAGAGCAATACTCCGTCTCAAAAAAAAAAAAAAAAAAAAAAAAAAAAATGGCACCTATATTATCCTACAGTTCTGGAGGTCAGCAGTTTGAAATGAGTCTCAAGGGCTCAAATCAAGATGTGTCGCCAGGACTGCATCCCTTCCGGGGGCATCAAAAAGAATTTCTTTCCTTGTCTTTTCCAGCTTCTAGAGGCTGCCTGCATTCCTTGACTTGGGCCCTTCTTCCACCTTCAAAGCCAGCATCCCAACATCCTCCAATAACCCTGTCTCCCTCTTCTACCTTTAAAGACCCTTGTCATCATACTGGGAGAATCTAGGAGAATCTCCCCATCTCAAGGCCGATTGGAAACCTTAATTCCATCTGCAACCTTAATTCCTCTCTGCCATGTGACCAGAGGTTAGGACACAGACATCTTTTGTGGGCTGTGCTTCTGGCTGAGACCTCCTTGACTCTCACAGCCATTCTGGGAGGCAGGTTCTGCTTTTCCATTTTAAAGAGGAAAACATGAAGCTTAAAGAGTTCAGTGACTTCCCATGGTCTCAAGCCAGTAAGCAGCCATGCTAGTCTCCCAGTGGTCCCTGCGCCCTCCCCATCAGTAAGGACGGTGCCAGGGACAGGCTCTCCAACACTAAATTGGTGCCACCCTCATCACGAATCGGGGATGGAGGCGTGGCAGCACTCACTGGCAGACACTGTTGGCATCAGACCTGTCCCTAGAGTGTATCCTGGCTAGAAGGGACTTGGGTCATTACCTGGCCCAGCCCCCCTCAGGAAGCCCAACAGGGTGAGTGACTTGTCCCTGGTCACCAGGACACTGGGAGCGGGATAGGAACCAGGGCCCCATCCACTGACTCCCATGTGGGCCTCCCCTTCTCCCTTTTCAAGAACAAGGAGGGTGGAGGGAGTCACACACTGGTCTCTGGAAGTCGCTTCCTCTCTCAAGCCTCAGTTTCCCCATGTTCATGGAGAACTTGAGTCTTCAGAAGTGAACTAGCAGAGAAGTGTTTCGGAAGCAGCCAGTCGCTCCACAGCTGTGAGCAGCAGGGACGGTGACTTTTCTTTTGCAGAATGACGACGCATGCCTTGTTCCGAACACACCATTGCATCTCACAGGCCTGCCGCTGGAGCCCCCGCCATCCTACCAGACTGTGATTCAACAGGACACACAACACAAGCAGCATCAGAGGTGAAGAGGTTTGGCCCTGGCTCCCCAGACCTTCAGAACCCACGCATGGCCCCTTCTCCCTGGCGTGGAGAGAAACCAGTTCCCAAGGGAGCTGTGACGGGCAAGGGGCTAACAGTGCTGCAGCTAGAACTGCCTGGCCTGGGAGTGGTAGCTGAGGCAGCAATGGTCCTATATACTCAGGCACTAGAGGAACTCCCAGGACCCCCAGGAACATCTCTGCACCTGACTTGGTTGACCAGAGCTACCTCAGCTGAACCTGGACACAACCAGGACCCATCACCCTCCCTGCCAGCCTCCAGAGCAAACTCCTGGGCCTGCAGCCCCGAGGTGCCCCCCATGCCCTCTGACCTCCCTTGTCTGCCTTCTCTGATCAATGGTGGATGCACAGGAGGATATAAGGGGAGCCAGGAAGGAAGGTATCCAGAACGGCACAGGCAGGGGCTTCCCTTGCCTCAACCTACTAAGAAGTCTCTGGGGGAGCCTGTGTATCTGAATCCCTGGATTTAGGATGAGGGCAGCTGGGAGTTGAGTCCCATAGAAACTGTATACAGTTCTCCCCTCTGAACAAGACCCTCTGCGTGAATCTTTTTGCCTCCCTGGGTCTCAGTGTCTCCATCTTTAAAGTGGGGGTGGGAGGATGACATGATCCAGGAGTCTCCCGGCTTGAAAGCTCTGAGGTCAGGAGAATTCAAGATCCCAGTTGTGACATCGAGGTTGCCAGTAAAACTTCAGCCTCGGGATTTCAAACCTCCTTGTGCTAAGTAAATAATGTGAGAGGGAGGGACCTGCCTTCCTCATTTTCCAAATTTCGGTCATCTGAGGATAGTCTTCAGGAGTTTTGCTTATTTGTGAGCTGCAATGTATTCTGGGCTTTTTCCACACTCGTTCTTTTTTCTATATTATTTTAAAGGGGCACTTTGTAGCAGCAAGATATGGGAAATCAGTATCTTTCCATAAATAGAAGCGAACCCCAAAAATAATAAACACATGAAGTAAAACATAATTTTCCCCTCCAACCCCATGGTCTCACCCACTGCTTCCCTTCCTCCTGCTAGCACTGCCCCAGCCACCATGGCTTCCTTGAGGTTCCACAGGCACCCCAGGGACACCCCTGCCTCTGAGCCATCACCTTTGCCCTTCCTCCACCCGGACTCTCTTTCCCCACGTATTTGCAGAGCTCACTTTTTGAATCTTTACTGGGCCACTGACTCTGAGCCAAGTAAATGTTATTTAATCTCAATGTCATTTAATCTTCCCATCAATCTGTGACCTGGCTGCTGTTACTGTTAACATCTCCATTTCATGCAGGATCAGAGAAGTTCAGCAAGTTTCCCCGGACATATGGGTAGTCACTGACGGAGCTGGGATCTGGACCCAGACTGCAAACTGAAGACCACTGCCTGACAATGCCCCAACTTGGTTGGAGCATAGCCTCTGCTCTCCCAAAGTTGCACTTTCACTGGGAAGATGAGATTTGTACATACAAAAGACTAGTGCGATGATCTATACAGCAAAGTCAGCCCTCATAGCTCCTGGGAACCCTGTCCTCTCAGATAAGCCATTTCTTACCCAGTTGTCGGCTCGATACATGTGGTAGCCCAGATTGTTTGGTTTTGTTTTGTTTTGTTGAGATGGAGTCTTGCTCTGTTATCCGGGCTGGAGTGCAGTGGCACGATCTCAGCTCACTGTACCCTCCGCCTCCCTGGTTCAAGTGATTCTCCTGTCTCAGCCTTCCAAGTAGCTGGGACTACAGGCACACCCCACCATGCCCAGCTAATTTTTATATTTTTAGTAGAGACAGGGTTGCACCATATTGGTCAGGCTGGTCCCAAACTCCTGACCTCAGGTGATCCACCTGCCTCGGCCTCCCAAAGTGCTGGGATTACAGGAGTGAGCCACTGCACCCAACCCAGGTTTTCAGGTTGTCTGAGATAGCAGTCTGCTCTCCACTGTCTTACAAAATCGCTGTGTAAAGGGATGCTCTCAGTATCATTTGCCCTTGCACAGAATATCCCTGGAGTTTGAGGTTCTTTGAATTCTCCTTCTTTTGTCATGTCCTTCGCTGCCACTTCGTGCTGTGGTCACTAGCTTGGCCATAGCACCTCTCTTCTCCACTTCTGATCTGCTGCTTCTAGCATTCTATAGATTGCAGCTGGCTTTAAAATAGATTGTAAAGTGTAAGGCATTAGGTTCTGAGAGAGTGGCAGAGAGAGCCATGCAAATGTTTAGGAGAAACCCCATCTTTCTTTCTTTCTTTTTTTTTTTTTTTTTTTTTTTTGAGACTGAGTCTCGCTCTGTCGCCCAGGCTGGAGTGCAGTAGTGCGATCTCAGCTCACTGCAACCTCCACCTCCCGGGTTCAAGCAATTCTCCTGCCTCAGCCTCCCGCGTAGCTGGGATTACAGGTGATCACCACCATGCCCAGCTAATTTTTTGTATTTTTCGTACAGACGGGGTTTCACCATGTTAGCCAGGATGGTCTCAAACTTCTGACCTCATAATCCGCCTTCTCGGCCTCCCAAAGTGCTAGGATTATAGGCATGAGCCACCGCTCCCAGCTGAAACCCAATCTTTCAAAAGATGAAAGGGTGTGACGGAGAAAACCTTAGCTTGGTTGTGTAAAGACCTGGGTGCAAACTCTAGCTCTGCCAGTCACTTACTGTGTGGGTTTGACTCAGTCCCTTCCCCTCACTAGGTCCCAGTTTCTCCATTTGTAAAACAGGCAATTGTGCTACACTGATGGTTTGCATCAATAAAGGTAGAAACGGCTTCTGGTTCGACTTCTATTTTTCAAAAATCAGTTGGTGGTAGACTTGTCAATGTTCTCTTTGAAAGGACACTGCCTCTGCAGGTGCGTGGTAGACCTGGGCAGGGTTAGCTGGTCTTGGGGAAGCATGGCCACAGCCCAGTCCCTGAGTGGCTCATCAGTACCGCGACCTGCTAGAATGGCTGGTATCTTCTAAACAGTATGCAGAATTTCTAACACCAAGCTAGAAACAGAAAGCAGTCTTTGACTATTGTTAATGCTGTTTTTAAATTCGAGTCTTATTTTGATTTCTTTTTTCAATTTTTTTTTTTCTTTTGAGATGGAGTCTCACTCTGTCGCCCAGGCTGGAGTGCAATGGTGCAATCTCTGCTCACTGTAACCTCCGCCTCCTGTGTTCAAGCAATTCTCCTGCCTCAGCCCCCTGAGTAGCTGGGACTACAGGTGCTCACCACCATACTCTGCTAATTTTTGTGTTTTTAGTAGAGACAAGGTTTCACCATGTTGGTCACACTGCTCTCGAACTTCTGACCTCGTGATCTGCCCTCCTTGGCCTCCCAAAGTGCTGGGATTACAGGCGTGAGCCTCCATGCCCAGCCTTTTTTTTCATTGTTTTGAGACAGGGTTTTGCTCTGTCACCCAGGTTGGAGTGCAGTGGCACAGCCATAGCCACTGCCAGCTTGAACTCCTGGGCCCAAGCAATCCTCCCGTCTCAGCCTCCTGAGTAGCTGGGACTACAGGTGCGCACCAACACACCCAGCTAATGTTTTTATTTTCAGCAGAGCACTTGGTATGTTGCCCAGGCTGGTTCCTCAAACTCCTGGTCTCAAGTAATCCTCTCGCCTCAGCCTCCCAAAGTGCTGAAATTGCAGGTGTGAGCTGCCACACCCAGCTGATTTTGATATGGATTCAGCCCTAAATTAAGCCTAGTATCATTTTTACTCATGATGGAAAAATTCAAACATACAGAAGAGTTAATAGTACAGTTGACACCCTTGTACCTCCCCTGAGATTAGAATGTTAACATTTTGCATATTTGCTTTCCCTCCTTCTCCACATATATCTATCTCTTTAGATATACATATGTATGTGAGTATATATATATAGCACATATATAGTATGCATAAATAGACATACATTTGTATATATGCGTTTTCGTTGAACCATTTGAAAGTTGCAGACATCATGACTTTTCCTCTTTAAATTCTTCTACCTGCATTATTTCCTAAGAATAAGCATATCCTCCTATGTAATCATAATACTATCATCACACTAGGAAAATTAAAGATAATTCTATAATCCTAATACCCTGTCCATATTCAAATTTCTCCCTCTAGGTCAAAACTGTCTTTATTGTGGGTTTTTTTCTTTTTTTTAACCTGGATCTAGCCACGTTTCACACATTAGATTCGCTTGTTACATCACTTCATTTTCTTTTAATCTAGAAAAGCCCTCTCACCTTTTTCATGACTTGGACTTTTGAGACCAGTCGTCTTGCAGAATGTTGATGGTTTCTTCCTGGTGTCTTTCCCCTGCTCCTCCACCCTCCCTCTTTCCTGTAGCCCGAAAGTCACATCTAGAAGACCCTCGAAGCTTGGTTCAATGCACAGTAAGCACGGTTGGGGAGAACACTCCAGCAGTGATGGTGTGGCCTTCGCCCTCCACCAAACCTGGGATACGCAGTGTCATTGCATCCCTCAATTAGCAGCTGGACCCAAGGAACTGTCATGTCTCCCCATGGCCAGCGTCATTTTTCATTTCTTCCTTTTCCTACAAAGTTTCTTTGCAGAAAATGAACCAGGTGGCATCACTTGTCCAGTAGGGAAATGTTGAAATGTGTCTTTCTGTAATATCTGAGCATACACTATAGACAAATTTCACATGTATTAAACCCTAGCTTTACAGTACTGTATTAAAATCAATGACTTGAACTCCATTTTTTTTTCTTTTTACTTAGAGTCCTTTTATATCCTAGGCTATGCAAAATGCAGAGTCATTGGAAATATTTCCGGGGGAGTCATACGCTGATGAAGTCCATCACAACGTACAGGGACTTCACGAGTCTGGATAAAGTTTAGGGGATGCTGAACTGGATGATGGTTTGGTTCCTGGCCAGCTCTAGCACTCGAGCTTTCTACCATGAGACGAAAGGACGATGTCACGGCCAACATCTGGCCTCAGGATGCTCTAACTTAGAGATGTCAGTTCAATGGTCTTGAGGCAAATAAACCAGAAGGCTCAGGGCTCTGGGTCCCCACAGACAGATCCTTTCATTCCCTAGCAAAGACACTGCCACAGTATCCCTGAGCCTGGGGAGGGACAGGGTGTGTGCACCCTGTCTAGGGCAGGAGTGGGGGATAGCTGCTCTCAGGGAGAAAGAGGACCTGAAACTAAGAGTTTCCTCAACCACTTACTGCAGAACTCAGGTAAAACAGCTAACTTCCCCAAGCCTCAGTTTTCTCATCTGTAAAATGGGAATGATAATCTGTCCCTCACAGAGTTACAGTGAGGCTCAGAAGAGACTATGGATATGAAACACCAACCTTAGTGTTCCCCAGAATGTGAGATGCTGAGGGGAAACCTCTTAGGGATTACTTCTTTTTCAACCTCTTAGATTTCTTTAAAGACAAAATCTCGGTTTGGGACAGCTATATCTTTTTTTTTGTTGTTTTTTCCTTTTTTTTTTTTTTTTTGAGACGGAGTCTCGCTCTGTTGCCCAGGCTGGAGTGCAGTGGTGCAATCTCAGCTCACTGCAAGCTCCGCCTCCTGGGTTCACGCCGTTCTCCTGCCTCAGCCTCCCAAGTAGCTGGGACTACAAGTGCCCGCCACCACACCCGGCTGATTTTTTGTATTTTTAGTAGAGACGGGGTTTCACTGTGTTAGCCAGGATGGTCTCAATCTCCTGACCTCGTGATTGGCCCGCCTCAGCCTCCCAAAGTGCTGGGATTACAGGCGTGAGCCACCACGCCCGGCCTGGGACAGCTATATCTTTAACACCTAACACTTGTTCTTCCTTCCTTTTACCAAGACAGCAAGCCCAGCGTGCAGCAGGCAATCATATAGAACCAGAATTCCACAATACTGTTTTGTTCCCATTGGGTTTACTTTTATGTGTATCTTCCATTTATGGCAAGTGATACTGAATTTCTGTTTATGGTAGTGGTATCAAGTGCTCTAATATACATATGTAAGCTAAAACAGTGATAGTGGATATGGGGTTTTCTGAAGGAGTGATGAAAATGTTCTAATATTAATTGTAATGATGCTTGCATAAGTCTACCTATACTAAAAATCATTAATTTAAAAAAGAGGCCTTTTAAGGAAACATATTAAACAAATAATGACACAAAACACGAATGTTTTAGAGTCATGAAGTTAGGCCAGGCGTGGTGACTCACACCTGTAATCCCAGCACTTTGGGAGGCAGAGGTGCATGGATCACCTGAGGTCAGGAGTTCGAGACCAGCCTGGCCAACATGGTGAAATCCCATCTCTACTAAAAATACAAAATAATTAGCCGGGCGTGGTGGCACATGCCTGTAATCCCAGCTACTCAGGAGGCCAAGGCAGGAGAATCACTTGAACCCAGGAGGCAGAGGTTGCAGTGAGCCAAGATCTCGCCATTGTACTCCAGCCTGGGCAATAAGAGTGAAACTCTATAAAAATAAATAAATAAATAAATAAATAAAAATTTAAAAATTTAAAAATAAAGTCATAAAGTTAGAGCTTGAAGGACTGAAGTCTAGAAAACAAAGAAAGTAGATCTCTTCACTGCACTCTACAGAAGGGAAGTGGAAGGGTCTGCATTCTGCAGTTGAGATTAGAAGTTTACTGTGGCCCTTGAACCTAGAATTCTACTTCCTAATCTTGTTGAACTCTGGTGTTAGAAGAATCTTTGCGGATCATCTCACCAAACCCATCATGGAA